CGGGCAACAAAAGCGAGACTCTGTCTCAAAAAAAAAAAAGAACATTGTTATTTTTTCTTTATTAAAAAATGACTCACAGTTGAAAACCCCTGTGCATTCCTGTTAGATCCTATCCCTATCTTAAAATCTTCCTGCTATTTTCTCCTGCTACAAAAATGTATCTGCTGTCCTAAATGTGGTGTTTATATTTTCCACATGCATTGTTTAGTTAATCTTCACAAAAACATATGAGGTAAATTCTGTTATTATTTATATTATACTTTACAGGTGAAGAAACTGAGATTTAAGTTCTTTCCTAAGGTCAATGGACACTTGGAATCAGAACTTGAACCTTCAGCCTCTCTGTCTCTAAAACGTACACTCTGACCACTTTTCTGTGCTTCCCTAATTTTCATTCTCTGCCTTTAGCCCCCACTTTTCTCTCACCTGACCTTTTGTTAAGAATCTGTCTAATGGACATCACTATTCTGATGTCTAACGAAGTACCTCAGCATGTCTAGGATATAGTTTATACTTCTATCCATACTCACCTCCCCGACTTGCCTCTTGTGTTTTCCATCTCATTGAATGATCCCACTATCAGTTTCCAAAACTTTTCCCTCTTCTTCAACCTCTATATCCATTCACTAATTCCTGTTGTTTCTACCTTTAACAAAAATAGCTTACAGCCATTTGCTTCCCTCTATCCCTGTATTGTATTTTACTAGCCTAGACTACCATCATCTCAGGACTACTGTGTAATAGCAGTGTCCTAACAGTCTCATCAGTCTGATTTTAAAAATATTTTCTGTTTTATTCTTTTTGTACCAGAATAATTTTTCTAAAATGCAGATTGATCGTGTTCCTAACATGTTAAAAATCCTTCACTGGTTTACCACTACCCTTAGGATGTAGTCTAAATTACAAGGCTTACAAGACCCTTCATTATTTTGCCCCTATTTAGCTCTTCAGCCTCAGATCTGCCCATTCCCCTGCCATTGTACTCCAGCAATATTAAACTTCTTTCAGATTCCAATTACTTTTTAAAAGGCCATGTGTTTTCATACCTGTAGACCTGCAGTCATATTGTTTCTTCTGTCTGGAACACTCTTCCCTTCCTCTTACCTCTGCCTTCTTATAGCAGACTAATTTCTGTTTACACATGAGTCTTAGCTTAAAGGTCACTTTTTCTGGGAAGCTTTCCTTGATCTCCACTTTTCTTGATCTTGTTTTCCCTCCTCCCAAAGTTACTTTAGGTGTTCCTCCTCTGGGATTTCATTATACAGTTGACCCTTGAACAACACAGGTTCGAACTGCAAGGGGCCACTTACAGGTGGATTTTCCCCCCCAAACAATTGTGGATGGAAAATACAATATTCTCAGGCCGTGAAACCCATGTATTTGGAGGGTCGACTTTTCACATGAGTGGATTCCACAGGCCCAACTGCAGAGATTTGAGTATGTATGGATTTTGGTATATGTGGGAGTCCTGGAACCAATCCCCCACATATACTGAAGGACAACCGTACACTATACACTATACATTCTTTATCACAGTACTCATACTTTATTGTGATTGCTTTTGAAATCTTTATCTGTTTTCCCCCATATCCCCTATAAACTAAGCTCCATGAGGGCATACATGTTAGTGTTATTTTTAGTACCCAGAATGAGGTCCAGTACATAATTGACAATAAGTACCTGTTGAGGGACTGAATGAAAGTGTGAGATATTTGGATGAAAGTTTCTAGTTCCCAATGGGAAATATATGTTCTACGTGAAGGGCTCTCTTATTTTTGGATAATAAAAAGGTTTGTGAGCAATACCCATGTGATGAGGGAGTATTGCTTCCTCCATCTTATATGAAGAATTCTACTTTCGTGTAAAATGAGGTTTTATCATTATTTGTTATTATATACATCATAGAATTCTGTGTTAATTTTGTATTTTGATCTCTAGTTTTATAAAATTAAGATGATTGTAAATTAATTTTAAAATGTACCTTTTTTTTTCTGCAGTCTGATTCGCCATCTTATTCTCCTCAGCCCCAGCCATTTCCACAGAACTCTTCCCAATCAGCTGCTATTACTCAGCCTCCATCTCAGCCAGGATCCCAACCTAAGCTTGGCCCACCTCAACAGGGAGCCCAGTCCCCCCATCAGGTCCAGTTGCCTATGTATAACTTTCCCCAGTCACCACCAGCTCAGTATTCTCCCATGCACAATATGGGATTGTTGCCAATGCACCCTCTCCAGATCCCTGCCCCATCCTGGCCCATCCATGGTCCAGTGATCCACTCTGCACCAGGCAGTGCCCCCAGCAATATTGGCCTGAATGATCCCAGCATCATCTTTGCACAGCCTGCTGCCAGACCTGTGGCAATTCCTAGCTCCTCTCACGATGGACACTGGCCCCGTACTGTGGCTCCAAATTCCTTGGTGAACAACGGTGCAGTGGGGAATTCGGGTAATCTTCCTTTTCTTCTTTTGTATCTGTCTGTAGAAAGATTGTGTGATTGGTATTACTGGTTGAACCTGGGGAGATATGGAAGGCAAGCAAGGTTTAAGGAAGGGCAGTATAGGATTAAGATGAAGATTAAGAATATGGGCTCTGGATTCAGGCTGTCTGGATTTGAATCCTGGCTCTGCCACTTATTATATGGCCCTGGGTAATTAATCTCTTTGTGTATTGGTTTCATCTGTAAAACAGGAATATTAATAGCATCTAATATACAGGGATGTTGTGGATATTAAATGAGGTAAGGCACATAAATGTTAGCTATTATGATTTTTAATTTTCACTGGCATCCTGCTTGGTGTAGATATTATTAGTCCTTTTTTTTTTTTTTTTTTTTTGAGACAGGGTCTGGGTTAGAGGTGCAGTGGCATCATAGCTCACTGCAACCTCAAACTCCTGGGCTCAAGCAATTCTCCCACCTCAGCCTCCCAAGTAGCTGGGGATACAGGTGTGTACCACCATGCCTGGCTAATTTTTCTGTTTTTTGTAGAGACTGGGTCTTGCTCTTGTTCAGGCTGGTCTTGAACACCTGACCTCAAGCAATCCTTCTGCCTCGGCCTCCCAGAGTACTAGGATTACAGACGTGAGCCACCTGGCCTGCCCAGCACTCATTTTATAGTTGATGTAATTGAAGGGTTAAGTAACTTAATTATCATACTGTCATAATTTATAATGGTAGATCCAAATTTTAAACTAACTTCTTTCTTCAAAACCTGGGTGCTCTGTGCCCAAGGCTCTACTATTTCCAAATAAGGAGCAATTCTTTAAAAAGAAAAAGATATTAATAGCAATAGCATTAAATATAATAGTTTTTCCTGATATCTAAGTAAGACATAATTCATTATAGAACATTTGAAAAATAAAAAGAAAATCATCTATGATCTTAATTCCTAGATAGAACTACTAAGTAATACTTTGTTATATTACCATCCAGTCATTTTTTTAATATTTGCCTATTTAATAAATGGTTGATGTATGCCGTAAGTCTAGTTTTTATCCAGCTTATTATTAAAATTTTTTTATTCACCACTGGTCAGAAGGCCAAATTTTTATTTATTGTTCTAGAGATAGGATCTCGCTGTGTTGTCCAGGCTGGATTGCAGTGACTATTCATAGACATCATTATAGCGTACTACAGCCTTGAACTTCTGACCTCAGGTGGTCCTCCTGCTTCAGCCTCCTGAGTAGCTGGGACTACAGGCACACATCACCTCACCTGGTTTATATCCATCTTTTTAGTGATATTTATTTTTATTTTAAAAACTATTATATAAATTTTGAAATAAACACAAAAAGAAAGAGTAAAGTATAATGAATTCCTCACCACCTGCCAGCATTACCCAATTTTAACAGTTATCTATAATTTGCTATTTGCTATTCTTTTATCTCACCCCTTCCTACCATGTAAAAAAATTCTGGACTTAAGTATTCAATCAAATCCCAGATATTAGATCAAATTTGCTTATTAACCTCAGTTATATCACTTTTAAAAAAGTCATAAGACCATTACTACACCCAGTATAATCTAATACCAAGTCTTTGTTCATTTTTTCTTGTCTAAAAAAAAAGAAATATTCTTATTCTTGATTTATTTGAATCAAGATTCAAATGAAGCTAGGCATGGTGGCATGTGCCTGTTATCCTAGCTATTCAGGAGGCCAAGGTGGGAGGATTGCTTTAGCCTAGGAGTTCAAGACCAGTTGGGGTAACATAGTGAGAGCCTATCTCAAAAAAAAAAAAAGATTCAACCAAATCCCATATATCGTATGTGGTTTGTTTTTTTTTTTTTTTTTTTTTTTTTTTGAGACAGAGTGTTGCTCTGTTGCCTGGGGTGTCAGGCTAGCTCACAGCAACCTCAAACTGCTGGGCTCAAGCAATCCTACTGCCTCAGCCTCCCAAGTAGCTGGGACTACAGGCATGCGCCACCATGCCCAGCTAATTTTTTCTATATATTTTTAGTTGTCCAGCTAATTTCTTTCATTTTTAGTACGGACGGGGTCTCACTCTTGCTCAGGGTGGTCTTGAACTCCTGACCTTGAGCGATCCTCCCGCCTCGGCCTCCCAGAGTGCTAGGATTACAGATGTAAGCCACCACACCTGGCCTGTATGTGGTTTTTATAACTGTCCTTTATAACAGTTCCTTCTCACTATTTTTTCCCCATATTAACTATTTATTGAAGAAAGTATAGAATTTCCCATATTCTGGAGTTGCCAAATTGTATCTTTGTGGCATTATTTAACATATATATCTATCCCCATAGTTCCTGTAAACTGGTATTTAGATTCAGAGGCTGGATTAGATTGAGGTTCTTTTTGTTGGAAAAAATACTTTGTAGTTGGTCCTGTATGTTTCCTATTCCCTCACTCCAGAAAGAACTTACTGTCTAGTTGTTTCCATTTTAGTGACTTAAGATTGATCTGTGACTTAGGTTTCATCAGCTTGTTCTATCCATTAAAAAGTTCATGATTAATTTTTACTTAATGGTCTTAGCTGCCATTAGTAATTGTTGCTGATATCCATTATTTCACTAGGGGTTATAAAATGATTTTCTATTTACTATTTGATTGTTTTGTAAAGAAGAACTATTTCTTACTGACTGCTTGGTTACCCTGAAGTACAATTTGTATAGGAAATGTAGACTGAAAACTTAATCTTTCCCTTTATCCATTTTCAAAAGATTTTAGTGATGATTTTAAACAAAATGGTCTATTCCTTAAAGCACTATTATGGAGAAGGTATCTCCAGCCTCTTTGGGAACAATGCAAATAATATATTGTGCTGAGCAGAAATGCCAGAATGTGGGAACTCAGATTTCTAAGATCAGAGGATATATGGCATATGTGGCCCTTCTAATGTGGCCTCTGCAAGTCATTCAAGAAATATTTATTATGTATATGCCATGACATGTACCATGATAGTCACTTAGTTATATAGCCATGAAGACAGAGCCAGTGTTTTGCTCTTTGATCTCTTAGCTCAGTTTTTACAATTGCAAGTTTTCCCTCCCTCTGTCACTAGTTGATCTCTGTTTCAGTCATAATGAACTAATTAACATCCCACAAACATACCGTACTGTCTGTTACCCCTGGTTGCTTATCTTAGTTGTTCCCTCTGCCTGGAATATCCTCTCCATTATCTCTGCTGCTCACTCTCACCTCCTTCTGCCTTGCCTCAAAGCTTGGCTAACTCATTCATCTTCCATTTTTTTAATTTAGATCACTTGCTTTGTGAAGCCTTTAACTCTTGCTGATCCTCTCCTCCAATTGCATTAGGTATCCTTTCTCTGCTCTTTGCTTGCTTAATATCTATATCATAACATTTATCTGATTATGTTGAAATTGCCTGTTTGCTTGTCTGCATAACCCATTAGACTGAACTTCTCGACTTAAGAATCGTTTTTTGTCTGTATTGTCTCTGTAGTAGCCAGTTTAGTGCCCGACATGTTAGATACATTATTAATGTTATATATTATTATTATGTAATAAACTATTATTCAGTAAACATTTATTATTTATATGGATATCCAATTCATAATTAATATTACAGCTAAAATACTACTGTGTTAGAAATGGAAGGACTGGTTGGGAATATATTAAAATGATAATCATGGTTGTATTAGAGTAGGAGATTGGGTGAATTCTTTTTCCACTTTTAAATTATCTTTAATGAGATTATATTAATTATGGAAATATTTGGTTATGAAAAATGGGCAAGGGGGATTGGAATGCAGCCTTTAAAAATACCCTTTTCTGTTAAAACATCGTTTCTCCATTGGTTACAACTTAATCTGTATACCCAGTCTCATTTATTTTGTAAACCCTGAACCTTTCAGCCTCAGCCCTTAGTTGTAACTTAGCTTTATGAACTTACAGTGAACCAGCTGCTTTGTTTTCCTGGTTACCTCCTATAAAGACTGAGCTTATAAGAATGCAGCTAATATGGATTTTAGTTTTCTTGCTCTGCCCCATTCCATACTTCCTAATTTGAGTCCCTGCTAAGAAGTTTAGTGAATAAGTTTAGTCTTTTAGTTATTCCCTAGGACATTATGACCTCGAATGAGAAAAGCCACCAGAAATTATCTGGAAGATACACTGGGTATTGTGCTTTGAAAAATGTACTTAAAGATATGTCTTAAGTATAGAAAGATTTTGGAGGGTGGTTAGCCATAGGAAGAATAGAACTCACATTTTTCGAGTTCCTACCTATATGTCAGATCTTGTGCAAGCTATTATACTTTATTTTTCTTGTCTAATTTAATACTCATAACAACCTGAGGTTCAGGATGGAACCTTAGTAATTTTAGGAACTAGGTTTTGAACTTTTAGACCTGTTTGACTACAAAGCCCAAGTTCTCAACCATTATACTACAATGCCTCAAACTTCTGATAGGATCTCCTTCCAGGCCAAGCTATAATTGATTCTGGGATAGTTGGCATTGTCTTTAGGATAAAATGTAAGTTCCTTAGCATGATGTAGTAAGGTTCTTTGAAATGTGTATCCCACCTTCCTGTCCAGCCTTTTTTCTTACTGCTTCGTCTTCTACTTACCCCTCTCTATATTGCTGATTGTTTTGCAGCTCCCCAAACTTGCTATGCTTTCCTGCTTGCAGGCTTTTGTACGTGATATTCCTTCTCTCTAAAATGCCCTCCTTGCCCTATTTTGCCTAACTTTTTCTTTGTTCTTTAAAACTCAGCTTAGTCAATCATCTTAGGAAAACCATCTAACCTTCAGAGACTGGGTTAGCTCCCTCTTTAGAATAGTTTTTGCCTATTATAGCAATTATTACATATTATTGTATATATCTACTTATGCCTTTCTTATGAATAATCTGAGCAAATAATAATGCTTGAATCTTTAAAAAATTTTTTGTGTATCCTCTGCATTTAGCATAGTCCTTGGTCAGTGGTAGGTACTCAATATATCTTTGTGGAATGAAGGAATATTTGAATGAACAAACTAATGTTTTAAAATGTGTTTTTTCTTTCTTGTTGAAATGCAGAGCCAAGCTTTCGAGGACTAAATCCTCCTATTCCTTGGGAACATGCACCACGTCCCCCTTTCCCCCTTGTCCCAGCTTCGTGGCCTTATGGTTTGCATCAGAACTTCATGCATCAGGGAAATGCCCGATTTCAGCCCAACAAACCTTTCTATACTCAAGGTACCATTGCTTACAAATTAGTTAACAGGCTGGGTGGGTTTTATTCTGGGACAAGGAGCCTCAGTGAAGGCCAGGTTCTGGGAGTGAAAATTCATGCATTCAGTAAACATTTATGGAGAGAGCATACTGTGTGTCAGACTGTGTTAGGTGTTTTTTACTCAAGCAAGAGTAAATAAAATCTCCATACTTTATCAGACAAGCCAAACACATAAGATAGACAAGAATAGGAACTTAGATGAATCAGTTGAGGTTGCCCTAGCAGAGGGGGCAGGATTTTGATACAAGAGATGATATCACACAAGATTTTGACAATTGAACTAGATCTTGAAAGAGATACAGGATTTTTTTTCTTAAGAGATTTTCTGGAGATTAGAGAGGAGGAGTATTCTTAGCTGAGGAATTATTATATATAGTCACTGAATTTTGCCTGGCATAATGGGGAAGAAGAGAAAATAATAGGACTAGAGGATGGAGGTATATAGGAAAGATGTGTAGGTGATATGGCTAGAGAGGGTAGGGTGGGATAAATTATGAAGGAGTTTGGACGTGGTTTGGTAAGCAGTGGGGATCTAGTAGAAGTTTTTGAGTTGAATAGAGACATGGTCACATTGTTTAGTAAAAGTAGGACTTGAATGACATTAAAATTTATTATATTCTGCTGGTGCTATAGTAGTACCGATAATGGCTTTGACCTGGGTAATGAATATTGCAAACTAAGAATACCCAGAAACTTGGAGCATTTTATGTAACCTACTTCTCTCAAAGGTATCTGTTCTAACAGGTAATGTCTGAGTCTAGCCTTCAGCTCTTGGTTTACCTAGGAGTTAAGAACACTGAAGTCAGACTCATTATAGTTAAACTAGGGAGTTTAAGACATTAAAGGTAGGCACTCAGGAAATGTTGACTGAATGAAATTACAACTTTAAGGGAAGGCCCCTGGTATGTCTCAAGGCTTGATACATTTAAGCCAGAATTCTTAAACTACCCATGTACTTCTGGGGTATCCTTGTATTACGGAGAGGCAGAAGTTTGACTATTGTTGGGTTCTTCTGAGCAAAGAACTAGAGCTGAGGGAAGTTACCATCAGTCATACAAGCCCTTTTGGCGGGGAGAGTCTGAAATTTTTCCCTGGTGGGTTTTTTCTCCTTGATTTCTCTCCATCTCTTATTTGTCTCCTTACCTTTCTTTCACATACCTACATTTCCTTCCCCTCTCCCTATTTCTTCCCACACCCTCAAATGTTTTGACATGTGTCTTCTTCTAGTATATAAATAGAAAAAAAGAGAACTAGCTGCAAATTAATTCTAAGAGGTTGTCAGATAAATAGGCACAAGCCTTTCAGTTTCCTGTCTGTGTTGTATCCAACAGACAGATGTGCCACCCGTCGGTGTAGAGAGCGTTGTCCCCACCCACCAAGAGGAAACGTGTCGGAGTAACGCGAGTCCGTTTTCTTTCAGCTGGTCTACCGATGCACAGCAACCAGCCAATCCTGCTGTCTCAAGGGTATCCGTACCTCAATGTCAGTTACATTCAGCAGAAAAAGTGACATTTAATGGAAAGCAAAACAAATCAGGTCCTGATTTAAAATTTTAACATGTTTAGATAGCTTATTTAAATTACAAGACTGTTTTTAAAGACTGTATTATTTGTATATAAATATGAACTATAGTTTTTACTAGTATCACCAAATTGAGTGATACAAATTTCATCTATTTTATTACCCTATTTTTAAGGGAATTTTATGTTTTGTTTAACCTTGATGAATTGTATAAAGAGAGAATTTAAAAAATTACATTCTTTATTTTCTATTAGCTGTATTCA